GGAAACATAGCAAGTTCATCAAATACCACATCTCTACTAGCCACCATTTTTTTATCAGGACACCACAATTTATTTCCATTCACACTTGATTTATACCCAAGAAAGATGTAATTTCCAGACTAGGCTCCAACTTTACATTATCCATATGAGTATAAGAGGACACACACAAATTTTCAAATCAGAACAACAAGAAAGTTTACCAGACCATACATCTTCTGATATCTTTTTTCAATGGCAACTGAGATGAGAGATTGATCAGAAAATAAGCCGTAGTAGCAACTTCAGCCCAAAAAGTCTTGGGCAACCCAGAGTTTGAAAGCATATAACGAACCTTTTTCATAAAAGTTATATTCATCCATTTTGCAACACCATTCTGCTGAGAAGTTCCAAGCACTGTCAATGTCCCAAAAATACCTTCAGCCCTACAGAAACTATCTAATTCATCTGAACAAAATTCCAACCCACTATGTGTCTGTAGAGGTTTCGCCTGCTTTCCAGTATACTTTTTTGTCCTTGTTTTCCACTCTTTAGCTCATCACTCTTCTGTTTTCAGAAGAATACCCAAACTTTCCTGCAAAATTATAAATCAATGCTAGCAAATAATAAGCACCTCCATTTGAAGGCACCATGGCTTGTCCCCAAAGATTTGAATGGATATACTCAAGTGTTCCATTCGTGTTGTATCTTTTTTTAGTGAATTTGGCTCTTTGTTGTTCCTAAAGACACAATGCTCACAAAGATTCATCTTATTGTCTTCTGCCCATCAATAAGTCCCCTCCTACTCAACTCTGTCATACGATTAACACTTATATATACACACGGGCGGTTGAGTGGAGAGAGAATGAGATGAAATTGAAAATATATATGCACAAAAAAGAAGGCATGGCATCTGAATTATACACACAAAGAAATGCGCTGCTGTCAAGATTTTATATATATATACACACGTCCACAAAGAAAAAAATGCAACAGAGAAGAATTGACAATCATAGATTGGGGAATTAATCACGTTTCGTCAATTTTTGGTGATATCATTCAACTTTTGCATGTTTAATTTCCAAATTATGTTAGGCTATATTTTTATATTGCTAAGATATAAATGAACCATTGTTTTGAAATTTTTAGTATTAATTAATTATTTCAACGACTAATATGGTTATTTTCTCGGATGTTTATTATTGTTTTTACCGACTTTTCAATTAATTAGCTTATCGAGAGAGATAATATATTTTAACTAAAAATAATAAACGTTGTAAGTTTCGATAGAGGATGGAGATATACCTCTATATTTTACATGATTTTCATAGGTGTTCTAAATCGTTTTATTCATTTACCATGTATGTATCTTTTATCGAGAGATTTGAGATGATAACTCAAGAATAACTAACCAAGAGGGGGGCGAATTAGTTTTTGAAACTTTTTCGACACTTAGTTTCTAAACAATACAGTACACAAAATATGACTGCAAAGTATAATACTAGAATTAATTATGTAAGTTCGATAAACAAGATATGAATGTAAAGTATAATACTAGAATTAAATATGCAAGATTGATATCTTAATTCAAGTAAGAATATAGCACAATATAAATGGCAATATAAAGTAAAGTGCAATAATTTAAAGATAACAAATTAATTTAATGGGGTTCGATACACAATGTGTTCTACGTCCTCGTTACTAAGCTCTTCATCACGAGTAAAGTCAAATGCACTATAATGGTAACTTACATTTAAGTGACTTAAAACAATGAACATTTATCCTTAGGTGACTTACAACAAGGAGCACATATCCTTAAGTGACTTTCAACAAGTAGCACTTATCCTTAACACAATCGAGTTTTCAAAAGGCTCTTGAAACCACTAAAATATAAATGATAATTTTACAATTGAAAGAACTCTCTTAACAAATGATACAATCAAGTCAAGTAATTAGAGAGTTATGATAACAATTCAATAAATAGCAAATAATAAAGCTCAAATGTTCATATTGTAAACTTTGACGAATGATGGATAATGAAATAGTTTGTATGTTTGTATCAAAATTTTCAATCAATTATCTCTATTAACAAATAAGACAAGTTAAGTATGNGGAAAATCAAGTAAACTCATTGATTTTCAATAAATAAACTCTCTAAATATCTCTTGTAAATTGTTAGAAGTGAATGCTAAAAAGGATGAATATTTATTGAGTAAAGAAGACACAATCAGTCATTTTCGATCGAGTAAGTTCGGTCGACCAAAGTGTGATATAGCAGTTGCAAAAATCAAACCGTTGGAGTTCCAGTTGATATTTCAATCGATCAAACCGGTCGACCGAAACATACTTTGGTTGACCGAAATGACTGGATGTTGGAGTTAGTTTACTATATATAAGGTTTAAAAAGCGAAAAGGAGAGAAAAGAGACATGATCAGTCTTCCGTCGGAGGAGGAGAGCCTCGAGGATAGATGGAATGCATGTGTTCAAAGAAGGCCTCATGTAAGAGACTCATTTGTTCCATCCGATGCTCAAGAGCATCAATCAGGCTAGCAACGGTTGTAGTAAGAGAATCAATGCGTCCTTGGAGGATGTTGAATTGATCTTCGAATAATTGTTGGTCGAAGGTAGGTGCAGCTTGTGGAGTAGGCCTATATCATGCCCGTGATGCAGTGTCCCCATCACCACCATCACTATCATCATTATTACCAATATGTTCTTCTGTCTCTTCCTCGGTGAATGGCCAAGTAGTAGGGCAAACATAGTCGAAGCCTTGAGTATGACATACCCATTGCCCATCACCTTTGACAATTTTCATGCGACTAAGGGTTTTAATGTTAATGATGCCGGTGTGTTTCGGCTTAAGAATATGTTCAACATCTAATGGCACGTTAAAGTGTTGAAAAAGTTTTGTGAGAAACATGCCATAGGGTAGACCTAGGATTTGAGAAGAGGAGTGCACTTGCTGGATATGTTTCAAGAAAATGTAGGAAAAGTCTAATTTGCGACCAACAAGGAGTGAGTCAAGAATAAAAAAAATCAAGATGATGAATTTCTTCAAAATGGCCACTCTTAGGGACGATGATATTTGCAATCGCACGATGAAGAAATTTGCAAGGAATAGTGAGGTGTTTTAGGTTTAAAGACATTTTAGTAGTTAATGGTCAGTCGCTGACCCGATAACAGGCTTCAAGTTCATTATAGCCTTCAAATCTAACCGAATAATTTTGGACATAGCGTAATTTTCACATTCCTCTAACTCAAGTATAGTCCGAAGAGTAGTCCTATCGAGAGTGATACATTTACCCTTAAGTGTATAGGTAACATGCTAGGAATAAAATGATAGATTACGATAAAAATCATGAATTAGTCTAGGATAGGCAATTTCGAAGATAGAAATGATATTTTTCCGATACCCTCAAAGTAATCTTCTATCTTGAGCGAAGGAGCTTGAAGATGGAATTTGAAAACATCAATTGACTTACCGATTAAAATGGGGTAATCAGTGAAGCGATCGGGCATGAGTGTGTCTGCCGCAATGTTTGACGAGCTCCCTTCTCCTTTCTTCGATTTCATCTTCGGAGGCATGGTCAAACCGTATTCTTTAGAGGAAAAGGTGAGTAAAATTTTTGGTATTTCGAATTTGTAGGTGAGAAATGAATGAATTGTGAGATTTTTACAAGATTTTTGAAATAAATTACAAGATTTTGAAATGGAGTAAAGCTCTAACCGGATTTGTAATGAGTTTTGAGGGAGAATCGAGAATTTTCGAGTGTGGAGGCCAAAGCCCAAATATGTGACATTTCTTGATGAAAATAAGGTAGAGCCTTGAATTTTGAAGAGACGGTCTAATGAATTTTATGGATTGAACGAAATATTGGAGGAATTTTGATGAAAGAAGTGAATTTTGAAGGGAGGAGATGAAGAAATCGTGATTTTAGAGTTTAAAATGGGGATTTTTTGTGTTAGGTTTTGATTTTAAAAGGTGTGAAATACAAAGGTTTCGATCGACCGATATAAACTTCGATTAACCAAAAGTCAGTAAAAAAATTTTGGCCAGCTGCAGGAGTTTTCGATGGAGTGTTTCGGTCGACCGAAAAACTATTTTGATCGATCCATTGGTCGATTGAAAGAAGAAGAAAAAAAATGTATGAGCTGCAAGAGGTTTCGGTCGGGTTGGTGGTCGACCAAAACATTACTTTTGATCGATCTAGGGGTCGACCGAAATAGTGAATCAGTTGATCCGTGGTCAACCGAAAGACCTGTGTCAAGATATTTTTAACTTAATCGATTATGGTGAACACCAGAGTGACAAAAAAGATTGTACCAACAAGTTACATGTAATTTTCATTATTCATAGATTTAGCCACAAATTTCAGATTCATCAATGATACCTAAGCCTCTTCGTATATAAGAAAATCTTTCGAGAGCAAGAGGTTTAGTAAGCATTTCGGCCAATTATTTATCGATACCGACAAATTGCAAACAAATATCACATTTTCGCACATGATATCTAAGAAAATGATGTCTAATTTCGTTGTGTGTTGTGCGAGAGTGCAAGATGGGAGTTTTTTGACAAATTTATAGCA